AATCCAAACAAATTATATCCCAAATTGTAAGAAATTATATCCCTTTGATTGACAATTTTCATGAAAAACAAATTCAAACGAACACCAAAAGATAGAAAATTTCAACATTTTTCAGGTGAAAAATTATACCAATCAAACACAATTAATTGACAATTCCCAATAAAATAAATTCTAGGCAATTCAATTCCCTACAAATCGTTTTCTTTCCACCCAAATTCCATTTTTGAATCAAACGGACCCTAATAAAATAATTTTTTTAAATAGAAAAAAATTAGACGGCCACAAGGACTAGTCCAACAAGAGCTGCCAATTCTACCATTTTTATCAAAACCATATTTATCAAGCCTTGTGTATGACAATCATGTCTCTTAGTCTTCTGCGTCTTGGATATCCAGATAGATAGATGGTCTCCAATGGAAGTTTTCTCTAACCGAGTGTTGAAGGGAAGCAAGCAGTAACACATGGATTGCAGAGATTTATCTTGTTATACTACACATCAACAAGCAAAGAAAAATAATAATGTTTGGCCAGACGAACTGCACGAGGCCGCTTGCCGGTAACGGAAGCTTGCTAGTTTAACCAGAGTTAGATTAAACCCGCTCTTATACCATGAAGAATTTGAACAATTTGGTGAAGGGAGCTGTAATTTACATTAGCTGATTAGTGCAGAATTTAATAATATCTGGATGGAAACTAGAAGTATAGTAATGCTGATTAACATGGAATTTTACTTAAATAAAAAGAGTAAAAGTTGTCATTGCCACATTTTGTTTCTTTGATATTATCATGATTTGATGTATTTTTTTCTGATCAAATCCAACATTCATCTCCATGATTAGTTGCTTATCTTTCATGATTTGAGACATTTGTTAGCTTTATAAAATGTTGAATTTATATCTCCATTGTTAAGTGCATAATCATCTCCTCCATGTCACATCGAAGTACATTAAGTTTCAACGAGCAATTCAATTTTGATCAGATTAAGATTCAAATGAGAACGCAAATTTTAGGAGTGATCTGCTCAAATGAATCACTATCTTATGGAACATATTAAGAGATATATCCACATCGATTGAATTTCGAAATATGGACTAATACATAAGGACAATAATTATTCCTCTTTAACAAGGTTGATCGATTAAGATGAAACATCATTCTTCTCACAATAAAATGTTAAAACTTTGAATAATGTTATTCATCATCATTGCCTTACCCATAAGCAGTGATGGTAATTCAATTGTGGCGAGACTCTGCTGCTCGAGCCGAACAAATGTAGAGAATTTTAGGTGAAAAAAATTCAGCAATTATTTTCTATAAATTTATGTATTGTTCTCTTCTTTTTTGTTGGATACATGACCATAGAGTTTTTGCAAGGAAAAATCATAAGCTTGGCATCATGGTTTTTCTATTTTGTTTATGGCTTGTTCAAAAAATAGAAATGGGCGGAAGTGGTAAAGTTGAGGCATTTTACTTGGGGGCTTGCTTGAGTGATAATATATGATTGTAGTAGTGTTTCATATAATGAAAGTTTCAATAATTCATAAATTTTCGTCTTATATTTATATTTTTATAGTTCGCCATTTTTCCCAAAACAATAAAATCACGTGGGTTATTAAAGGGAATTGTCTTGGTTCCCATTATATAGATAAATTTAATTGATTTTCCATCTTAAATGTAGGATTAATTATAAATCAAATGATGCATGATCACATATGAATAGCAATACTCTAAAACTTTTCGTGTTGTAATTTATGAATTTATGTAAAATTTCATGTGACGACAAGGAAAAAGATCAAGAGCAACTATGTTTTGCAAAAAATATGATCGACTTCCACCACATTTATGAACAGTTACTACTTGGAACCTCCGAGTAACTCACTCAAGCACTCCAAAAATTAGGAGTAAGAACATAAAAGGATTTAAGATGACAATTCAATTGATGTATGATTGGTAAACACTGCTTATGAATAGTAACATTCAAACTTTTCATGTTGTAACTTAAGAAATATTTCATTTGATCCGTGACAACAAGAAAAAAAGATCAAAAGCGACCAACTTTCGCGAAAAATATGGTCGACTTCTCACCACATTTATGAATAGTTACTACGTACTTAATTAGAACCTCCCGAGTAACTCAAGTGGCTCCAAGTAGTTAAGCAAGAAGTCTCGAACCCCTCCCAAAATCTCGTGTAAGAAGATAAAAAGAAAACAATATTGTTGACATTCTCTTAGTGACGCCAGTAAATTTTGGTCTTTTAGTTACGAAATTAAAAGTTGATAGCAGCCGTACATTTGTTACAGCTCAAAAGTTGATAGGCGTAATTACCAAACCTCCCCACCACATTTACTCGCTCTGCATTTAAACTTACAGAAAACGTAACTGTATATTTCAGAGCATCCAATGAGCAATGGCGCCTTGTGCAAAAACTTGTGTGGTTAATTTCTGCACTAACAAGCCATCAAATTGTGTGGTTACCACTTCTTGGCTGAATATTTTCAAAATTTGAGATCCCTTTTTGTTATTGGTATAGATTTATTTATTTTATTGATTTATAAAATTGTTAGAAACTCCACAATAATGCCTAGTTGCGACAAGGGTGAGTGGCATTTCCGACAACGAGAGTTGCTCTTGTAGAGTAGAGTACATCCTAGGCATGACAAGTGTAAGTTCGAGGAGCTCTCAGTTGATAAGTTTCTTTTGCATTGATTACAGAGTGCAAGTGTCAATAAGTTGAGTGCATACATGAGTATGTTGATCTTCTAGGCATTAGAAAAGGCTCGATTAACTCTCTGGACACACTTGAGCTGCACTTAGCAGGCAGTCGTGCATATAGTAAATATGCTCTCATAATTTTAGAACTCATTATTCATTAATAGTATGGCTTGCAGATTTTTTGTGTTTCCTCCTAACATTGACCAATGGCCACACTACAAAACTCAGAAACCCTCCACTTAAAAGAAAGAAAGTGTACATTTAATTCAAATATTCATTGATCCATTCAATACTCCCAACTGCTCCCCACCTTCCTCTTCTGTTCCCTTCTTTAAAAGGGTGTCACCAAGTTTCATTCAAGTGTCAGCTTTGCATTGGAGAGTTCTCACGTTTACAGAGAGAGAGAGAATGGCAGCAAAATGGTGTTTCGTGTTTCTGCTAGCTCTTGTTGTAGTTCAGGCTACAGCTAGGGTTCTACCAAGTGAGAGTAAGAGTCTTGCGGACCAAAAGAACGTCGCCTCATTCGGTGGTGCTGGTGTCTACAGTGGCATTGGCAATGGCGGGCTGCCATACGGTGGCGTTGTGGGTGGAGTAGGTTCAGGTGGCGATCTTGGTGGGATACCCGGATTCAGCGGTGTTGGAGGAGTTATCGGGACGGGACCAAATGGTGGTGGTCTTGGTGGACTAGGTGGTACTGGTGGCTTGCCCGGTCTCGGAGGAGGCAGCAGCGGTCTTGGTGGCGATGGAGCCGGTGCTTTACCATATCCTTGATTCCTCCACCAGTGTTCAACTTGTAGTAGCCTTAGTTGTGTGAGAGGTTTTGTGTGTGTACTTTAATTTGGTGCTCTTTTAAATTATGTCTTGCTTAGTTAAAGTTTGTGAGCTATTTTAGCCCTCGGATAAACCGTTCCACTGTTGATGGTCAATGTATGCTTGTAATAGCATTTCTTTAGCAGGAATACAACCAGCTTGTGTTTAAAAAAAAAATTATGATCTATTAAAGCGAGGCGTATATTGAACTCTAATGACACGTTCAGGACATTAGATAAAATAACAAACAAACGTCTCTAAATGTAGTTTTGTCTGAATCAACGTTTTCAAATGTCACAAAAACTGTAAAACACGGCGTAGAGGCTGAAGCTCGAGTTTTTTTTTAACCATACGCTTCACCTACAAATGCACCCAAAGGCAGAACATTGATCTAGTTCCGAAAAGAAAGATCTAGTTATGCATCCAGTTCATGTATGATTTGAAATCCACGAGAACATATTTGGTACATAATATTACAACATATCATTTTAATAAGATTGGACCAAGATTTGAACGGCTACATATTGAATCGAGAATGCGTTCCACTAAGCTAGCTTCGATTGTACTATATGTACATAATAATTTACATATGGTGAGATGTAATTGAATTAGAATTTCTACCAAATAAACAAATAATAAATGCATGGGTACACTTAGTACAACCCTAAATAAAAAATGCTATGGGTACAACAGTGTACCCATAGGACACTTGGCAACAAGGGGGGTGGGGGGGGGGTTGGGGCGCCATGTGTCCTTATGGACACCCCTGTGAGTACACTTATGTACTCATAGCAAAACCCAAAATAAATTTGGATTAATCTATATGTACTTAAATAGATCCATAGGGGTTGACATAATGTGAGTGCCCCACTCACATTATGTCAACCCCTATGTGCATATAACATATGTGTACATAGCATGTCTCAATAAATTTACAACTCTGTTTGACTCTATGTAAATTATTATATAACTTCTTATGTACAAGTGGTATTATTCAATTTAAAATTGATTTTTCTAAATTAATCATCATGATCAACCAAAAATTATTTCAACGTGTAGTCATCTCAAAATGCAAGAAGAAAAAGTATATTTACACCATTAACCGACCTGATGCTTTAACCCGGTCAGTCGAGTACTTCGGCTTTCAACTCGGGCGCACTCTGTTATGCAGTAAACACCAACCATACAACCCCAATTCTATAGAATAAATCAAATTCTTGCTAATTAAAACTAATAATCTTTCAGCGAATAATCACAGGTCAAGGACAGCCATATTCCAAAGCATAAACCATATTCCAAAGCATAAGCAGAAAAAACAAGCAGCAAAAATTCTTGACAAACTGAGAAACGAGTAATAATACACACAGAGTAGAACATGATCATAATCACATATAAAGCCCTTCTGGGACACCCTCTTTCTTCTTGAACATAACCTTGTCTTTTGCCTTCTTGAAATCTGCATGTGTCACCTAAACAAGCATAAAAACACTGTCAATATACACTAATAGGCCAACGTCCAATTTATTGACACAATATCATAATCAATAGAGTCGAATTATTTTTGTTTAAAGTCGAAACTGTCTAACAAATAATGTCAATCAATGTGTCTTTAGTAAGACAGCGAACAGGTAGAGACGTGGCAGAAGTCTACTTTATTCGAGTCCAAGCACACAACCCCCAAAGTTACCTTTTTATTCTTTCTTTAGTGACTTCTGAAAGTTTTTCCAACAAGTGATTAGAAATTCAGAACATCAATATTAGCATACTAAGAAATCGTTGCACTCAGATAAGATTACTCTCCCAATTGTGAAATTTTTGATTTAAAAAGTTAACAGATATATCAAATCCCGATAGAGCCCACACTCCCAAGAGATCAACTAAATAAACAAATAATTAAAAAAGAAAAGAGAGATTTGAAAGAAATCTATTTGAAGTGAATCACTATGTTTTACTGTTCAATAGCCGGCTATATTGTTATTTTATTAAAAGCTATAAGAACAAGGGTAAATAAGTACAAGTTCACCAGACAATATAAAACAAAAAAATAATATGTACGAATATTTTTTCTGGAAGAGGAAGAATAAGAAAGCAGACATGAGACAATGTAAATTCTAAAAGCAAAATGTTTTTATCAATAAAAAGAAAAATTGAGCTACTGCATATGGTGTTTTTACCTTGTAATGAAAAAAATTGTTAGATACATAATAGAAAGTTTCATTTGTTGTTATTGTTATTCCTCAATGAGCATTAGAACTTCCATATGAGATGGGGATTATGACTAAGGTCAACATACAGTCAACCTTAAGCATGAGCTAGAAAAGAAATAATTTTCCAACCAATCACACTTTCCTGCCCATAATGATAAAAAGTACAGCTTTCATATTTTACATAAAATAGCATGCCTCACCTTCATACGGCGCTCCCTTAAAGCAAGCAATCCAGCTTCAGTACATATGGCTTTGATATCAGCACCAGAAAATTCATCTTTTGTCATAACAAATTCTTCTAGATTGACATCATCAGCCAATGTCATCCTTGATGTGTGTATCTACATATATTAAAGAAAAGTTCAGAAAATCATTGGATATGCCTCTGATTAGGCAACGCATGAAATGCATACCTGGAAAATACGCCTCCTAGTCTTAATGTCTGGAAGAGGGAATTCGATCTTCCTGTCTATTCTACCAGGTCGAAGCAGGGCAGGGTCAAGGCTTTCGATTTTATTTGTTGCAAGAATCACCTTAACATCTCCTCGCGAATCAAAACCATCCAATTGGTTCAGCAATTCCAACATAGTTCTCTGAATTTCACGCTCACCACCAGAATGGGCATCGTACCTGCAGAAAGCATTCACCAAATAAATAACAATCCATAGCAATAACTATTTCCAAGCCAACGTTGTTCGAGGGAATACCTCTTTGTACCGACTGCATCAATTTCATCAATAAAGACAATCGATGGGGATAAGTCATCAGCAACTCTGAAAAGTTCTCTCACCAATTTGGGACCATCTCCGAGGTACTTCTGAATCAATTCACTCCCAACTACACGCAAGAAAGTTGCTGATGTAGAGTTGGCCACTGCCTGAAGAACATCAAAGCAAGGGGTTTATAAACCAAAATACTCGGCCACACCTTGAAGAACATCAAATAAGAGGTTTATAAATCAGAACACTTTAACATAAACTCTTGCTTACAATTTGAGATAATTGTATGTCAGAACTTTATACAAAACAATTGACTAAAGATGTCTTGCGCCTGTAATGATTTTGTCAAACTCAAGGGCAGACCAAAGATGTCTGGCTCATGTAATGACTAAGATTCAAACTCATTGGAAGACTATAGATGTCTGGCTCCAGTAATGATTCTATCAAACCAATGGGAAGCCATTTACAATAACGTGCCAATCCACAGGGTTAGATGTATCCCAATGTTTGCCTGCCTTGTCTAGAGGAAGGCAACAGTGGACCATGTTTGTTTCCGTTTGTACATAAATTGCAGAAATGAATGATTTCATTCGTCTACAAGGAATCATAACCTAGATCCAAACTTGTAACATTTACATACTATGACAAGATAAGGTGACAAGATATGCTCACCCTAATTATATAAACTTACCAATTTTAAACTCATAACTTCCAATTTCTCCAATTAAAAGAAGTAAAAGCTTTTCCCCTTATTTTGTCACTCTTTAATGCAAGAACAAAATTAATATGTAAACTAGATCAGAATAAAGCTGAGATTGGCATAAAATTATTCATTTTATCACACGGGACATTTTAATCTCATAAAATATGATGAAACCACCAGGTAATAATACACAAACCTTTGCAAGGAGTGTTTTGCCAGTTCCAGGCTCTCCATAGAGTATGACCCCCTTGGGAGGTTTGATACCAATGTCTTCGTATAATTCAGGATGGGTCAATGGTAGCTCTACTGCCTCTTTGATTTCCTGGATCTGGGAATCCAATCCACCAATATCAGCATACGACTCCAACGGAGCCTTCTCAACCTTCATTACGGACACCATGGGGTCAACATCGTCTTGAAGAAGTCCAACAACAGAAAGAACCTGCAAGAAAGCAAATTTTCTTAGGGAGGTGTAGTTAAAATCTCATCAAATAGAATTATGGTTAGCGCCCCCCACGCCCCATCCAGGAAATATACCGTTCCAGGCACAACAAAGGCACACTTTCTCCAGGCCTCCTTCTTTATTTAAATAAAAACAAATACGCAAGATGACGCCCCCTTATCCTTGTGTTACAACTAATTCAAGAATTTACAGATCATTTCCCCTGCTTTTACCAAATAGCAACAGGGAGAAGAGCCACATAGCCGTAGTATATACCACCAAGTTTACTTTGAACTAGAATGATATACAGAATTTTTAACAATATAATACCATGTCTTCCCTAATGGATTTAGGTTTCTCGAATGCATCATCTAAAAAACAAACTTCCATAAGTAACAAAATCGTGAACGCAAACCCACAAAGACGGTAAATCCAAGGTCCCCACTGTCACCAATATCTAACTTTCAACTTTCCTGTATCTATCATTTACTGAACTTTGTGATGCAGTTGAGAAACCTTTTGGACGGTAGGTGGTGGGACTAATTGTGGGTTTGTTAGTATTGATGGTAAAAATCAGTATCCCAATCCGCTCTTCTCAACATTTTAAAAAGTTGATGCTCACCCAATGTATTTCCCCAAATTTTAAAACTATATATAAAAGTAGAAAAAAAAAACTACATTAAGCCAACTATCCCAAATACTAATTCCTCAAACCCTAGCTCTACAATTTAAAAACTCTAAGAAGAATCACCTTATTGTGCATAAGAATTGCACAGCCAGGCTCGAGCTGATCCTTATCAACAAACGATAAGATCCCAACGTAGTACTCCGGCCCCACAGACGACGAAACGATGGCATGGTTCTCATCAATTAACTCCTCCAAGTTTCCC